CTTATCAGAGAGAACATGGAAAATATTCTCCCTTCCTTGGCTACTCCCTCCTCCCCTTACTGAAGGATGGTGTGTGTACATCTGAATGGGGGTGGGATGCGGGGGGTGGAGTTTAGCTTTCGGTCCTCAACAAAAACATAATGGTTCCCAGTAGGCCAGAGCGGGGCAACCAAGGAGGCAGGATCCTGGCCTCTCTCGGATCTGCAGGAAGGGTGGGCTGTGCGGGTCCAGGGTGGGATGCCCGTTCTGGCCGGCGGTGCCTGCTGAGCCCTTCCTGATGTGACTTTATTAGACAAACCCCCACTCCCGCCAGGGGTAGACACACGAGTATCTGCTTTAGGAAGATTTCTGCAACACGACAGGGTGCAATTCAAAATCTGGGTTCTCCTTTCCTGAGCTCAGAAACCAATTTGTTCTGAGATAGGAGAAGGCTCTGTAGGCAGAAGACCTAAGAGATGGGAGGAGGCGCCTGGCGTCAGCGGGTCGCTTCTCAGCCGTGACCACGAGCGGCCAGCAGGTGTCAGTGCGTCCTCGCTTTGCCCTGGCGTTCGGCTCCTGGACCCCTCCCCACCTCTGTCTAAGGGAGCGCGGTCCAGACCCCCGGTCGCGCGTGTCCCGCAGACAGCTTCGTGGCTGGGAGGACACGTAGCCGCTTCTTCCCTAAGCCAAGGTCCGAAGTCTGGCCTGTGCCACTTCCCCATAGGTGCTGTCCATTCCGCCCAGGGGTTCCATCCGAACCCGCGCCTTCCTCCCTCTCCAGCACCCCTTTCTCCCCAGCCGCCAGGAGCACCTGCGGACCAGGTCGGCTCTGGCCCGGAGCTGGGCTGCTCCAGATGTAACCCACACCGGAGGTTACTTCCCTCGATTTGGGCAGGGATTCCCCTCCACTTTTTCTTCCCTTTTCTTCCAAGATCCAGCTCCTTGAAGGCACTCACGGGTGCCCGTCGCGTTCTGCTCCGTCGGCCCGGAGCTGCATGGCCAACTCCCAGCAGGGGCCGCTCCCCCGCCCCCCCAACCACCGGGCTCCCTCTTTAAGCCTCTCGCTCAAGGTACGCGCCTAGTGAAGACATTCTCCAACTCCTCAGCTTCGTT